CGCCCGCTCTCCGCGGAAAGTAGGTCACCCGCTCTGCCGACGTTACTGCGGCAGCGGCGGCGGTCTCGTCGCTATAGGCTGAGACGTGTCCTCCTCGCCGTGTGCGAGGAGGGAGGGAGGGTGGAGAAGGAGGAGGGAGGGAGATACGGGGAGGAGGAGGAGGATGAAGGACGATTTGCGTCGAGGTCCAGCGAGACAGCCCTGCGGGTCCAAAAAAAAAAGATATAAAATGTATTGGACCGGCTGCCCTTTGTTTGCGATTTGCACGGCGACGATGCCTCCGATTCCCCGCTTAATTTCTGTCCCCCTGGGCCACACGGCGACCGTTCTCTGGCAGCGCTTGCATCTTCCCCTTGTCGAGGCATATCTATGACGAAGCGAGAAGGATCCGTCAGCGTTGCGTAGCCGGTATATATATATATTTTTTATTAAGCGTCTCGGTCTCTCTTGACCCCCTTCCCCAACCATGGCGTAAAATCTTTACGCGGCCCTTGGTGGTGGAGGGGCGGTGAGGTTATGGGGGGTCATTTGTTTTTGTGATGAGCTGCAATCTGGCGGTGGCACGTGGGGTTTTTACGGCGGTAGCGGTGACTATATTTTTAGTGGGATGGTGAGGCCGACGACGTAAAAGCCATATTGATTTTGGGTTCTGCATAAAGGGTTTATCTCTGGCGAACGTGCGGTGCACACATTTGTGTGGCGCAAGAGAGAGCCTTTCGTGCGTGGCTCGGGCGCCTGGGGGCTCTTCATTTATTTGTACCGTTCCGCTTTCATCGTCGATATTCATCGTCGATATTCATCATCGATATTCATTTTCTCATCATTAGACCTCCTTTGCCAGTACCAAAATATAATAATAGGGTTTTTCCCCTTTTTTTCTGGCAACAAAACTGAAACCTTTTTACAAGGATTCATGTCTGCATTAACCACAATACCTGCAGTCAAAATGCAAACAAAAAACATACTATGATAATATATGCATTGTCCTTGAAACTGATTGGTCCACACCTAGGGACGGATTTATTTTTGAGCCTCGAGCACCAATTGGGTCGAGGCTCAAAAGAAAGCCGTCCCTTGGTGTGGACCAATCAGTTTCAAGGACAATGCATATATTATCATAGTATGTGTTTTGTTTGCATTTTGACTGCAGGTATTGTGGTTAATGCAGACATGAATCCTTGTAAAAAGGTTTCAGTTTTGTTGCCAGAAAAAAAAGGGGAAAAACCCTATTATTATTCATTTTCTCGTCGCCGTATTTTCTGCCGGTGCAGCTTTTTTTTATTATGATCGTTGGGCCGCCATTCGGGTTGAGCCTGCGGCTACTGACAGGGGCGGGAGGCGCCGGGAATAGCGGCACGAATGTGGACTCTCCCCTCTTAAAAGCAGGGGGGCGCAGGGCGGGGAGCTCAGTGCTCACGGCAGCAGTAATGCTCACGGAAATCGATGGCGCATTGAGGAGCGCCCGCCGGCAGCTGATTCCCCACGACCTGGCACAAGGTCACGTTGTGCTGGCTCTGCCTTCCCACGTGCGTGTTTACATTTGGGGCCCTTTGTCAATCCACTGCTAGATGACGGTCTACCCTCTACCCCTCCCTCCCCTCTACCCCCCCCCCCCCCCTCGACGACACCCCCACAGTGCTGGTCGTGTGTGTTGCTTGTTCATAATTAACCCACCCGGGGCAGCGTGCGTTTGTGCGGAGTGCAAGAAAGCCCGGGGACCCTGTGTAGATGTCGCTCGTCACTGATGGCTCCCGTGGCCGGGAATCGAACTTGGATGGCCACGTTCATAGGGAGCAGAGCGCCAGCCACTGAACCACTGCATGACTGCTCCATGTATAAGCTTCCATGATCATTATTCGACCATTTACACAAAGATTTCGCAGCCAGTATTATGATTCCAAATTGATTATTGGGTTACGTGGCCTATCCAATAAAAGATTTATGAATAATAATGAGTACAGTATATCATTCGTAATTAGATTATTTTGGGTTAGATCGTGTTGGTGTCATGTTCGTTTTTTTCACTGTAACCCTCCACCACCCAGCGACAGAGCCAATTACATTGTCATGTGATGTGATTTATTTGGTTTTGCATAAAAACCAGAGGATGAGAAACATTGAAAAACCCGAGCAAAATTATGGCTGTTTGTACGACGTATCACTGGAGATTGGATCCAGCATCATCAGCCGTTGAAAAAAAGCTCCAGCTAAGTCCATAAGGACCTGGATCAGGAACCTCTTTAACACAAAGAGCTGAGCTGTTGTTAACAGCTGACGATGCTCCACGTAATCTCCGGCGAAACGTCATGCGAAGTTGTCGTACTTTCGTTTGTTCTCTTCCTCCACCTCCGGCGACTTTTTTGACGAAACAAATCAGTCGCTACAATCGCCCGTGACGTGACAACTTGATTTGGTCGGCGCTGTTGCTCAGTGGTGGAGGGTTACAGTGAAACAAGTCGACATTATTGCCTACACGACGATCTAACCCACACGAAAACTAATAATGAATCGTGAATTTTGCTTGTATAAAAAGAAGCCTACGTATAAAATTAATGGTGATGTGTGGAAATTGAACGCTTGCCGGTGTGCGCGGAAACGTGACTTTGTAAGCACAGTGCTGTCCGTCATCGCCACCGCCCCTTTGGCGTTTTGTTCATTCCGTCGCATGGGGCATCTCGCGTACATCGTTTCGGGGACGGACAAAACGGCAAAGAGACCCCGGGGATGTGGACTCCACACGTATCTCAGGAGCTCACCGGAGAGATTCGTATGAAATAAAAAACAATCAAAACCACTCGACAAAAATATGCCGTGTGAAATGCAGCAGAATTATACAAAATTCGCATTTCACATTTTTATATGAAGATTAAAATGCAGCCCTGTAGGAACAACAGGGTGGCAGGGTGAAGGCAGCGCACCGGTAACCCCTGTGGCCCGCAGCGAGAAGGAATCCTGGGTGTGATCCCTGACTCGGGCGCCTTTCTGCGCGGAGGTTTCATGTTCTCGCCCTGCTCTGCGCGGGCTCCCTCCAGCTGCTCCGGTTTTGCTCCCATCGCTAAAACGAACACTCAGTGTCACTGGCATTGGCCAAACATCACCAATGCTGGAAACTTCCCTGCAATTGGCTCCATTGGGATCGCACACAGCATCAACATCGCCCCCCCCCCCCCCCACTGAGAAAGCTTGGCAGGAACCTCCTAGAATAGTCTTGAGACTCGGTGAGCCTTTCCCCGGGTAAACGAGTGGAATCATCATTGACAAGGCATGGATTGTCACGGGCCCTGATGCAAGCCTTGAAACTGGGTTGGGGGGGGGGCTTTCCTCTCCCCACCCGGTTCTGTTTGTGTTGACTCTGGGTCCTCCATTTTCTTTCCTTTCGCAAGAAAAGAAAAACCGCACCAAGACGTCTCGCTCACACAGTGCCACTGCTATTGGCCAAGATGTCTCGCTCACACAGTGCCACTGCTATTGTCCAAGACGTCTCGCTCACACAGTGCCACTGCTATTGGCCAAGACATCTCGCTCACACAGTGCCACTGCTATTGGCTAAGACGTCTCGCTCACACAGTGCCACTGCTCTTGTCCAAGACGTCTCGCTCACACAGTGCCACTGCTCTTGTCCAAGACGTCTCGCTCACACAGTGCCACTGCTCTTGTCCAAGACGTCTCGCTCACACAGTGCCACTGCTATTGGCCAAGACGTCTCGCTCACACAGTGCCACTGCTATTGGCTAAGACGTCTCGCTCACACAGTGCCACTGCTATTGGCCAAGACGTCTCGCTCACACAGTGCCACTGCTCTTGTCCAAGACATCTCGCTCACACAGTGCCACTGCTATTGGTCAAGACATCTCGCTCACACAGTGCCACTGCTATTAGCCAAGACGTCTCGCTCACACAGTGCCACTGCTCTTGTCCAAGACGTCTCGCTCACACAGTGCCACTGCTCTTGTCCAAGACGTCTCGCTCACACAGTGCCACTGCTATTGTCCAAGACGTCTCGCTCACACAGTGCCACTGCTATTGTCCAAGACGTCTCGCTCACACAGTGCCACTGCTCTTGTCCAAGACGTCTCGCTCGTCCAATCCCAATTACTAATTTGGGATTGGACGCAGTGGCATCGCCCCCCCCTGCTGCAAAAGCTTAGGAGGACCATTCCTGAAAATACAGCGATGACATCAGCTCATCGGCAGCAGCTGGATGTGGATAAGTGCATCTGCAACATTGTAAGGAATGCGTGAGGAATGGGCGATAGCGTGGGGGAAGGCGTTAATGCAGCAGTGGATAGATCATGGTTGATGACGAATATCGGACTGTTATGTCAACTGCATCCACCTTCATCTCGTTGATAAAAAAAATAGTTAAAATCACCGGCACGCATTCCTGTTAATCATTATTCCGCTTGTTTATCCAGGAATGCCTCGCTGAGTCTGAAGACTTGTTGTTTCAGGAGGGTCCTGCCAAGCTTTCACAGTAGGGGGCGATGCTGCTGCTGTCTGTGTAATGCCGAATGAGTAATTTGCAGGTAATTTTTAACAGCGTTGGGATATTTCGGTCAATTACCAGTAACACCGTGTGTTGTGTGTGGGGAGCGTTAGCGTAGCGGTTAGCGTGCTGCACCACGAACCCAGGAACTTGAGTTCGATTCCCGCTCACGGCTAACTCCAGTGACGAATATCTGAACCGGTCCTGGGCCTCCCCTATATCGACTCAGCCTCAAATGAGTACCTGGTACGGTCTGTCGACACTGGGGGAGACCACGGCTGCCAGGCATGATGCTAGCCATCCACCCCCCTCGTGTGCCGTGCCGGCCTTCATATGTGCTCACAAACAGGACTCGCTAACAGGCCCCAACTGTCTGTTAGGCTAAACGGGGGACCGTTGTCTAAGTTGTGGTGTTGGATGCCCGGTGTCTGAGGCATCGGAGGCGACGTACGTGTGCGTTCACGGAGTTTATCTGACATGTCGGTCCATCCGTGCTTCTGTCCGTGACGCACAGATCTCTACTCCTGGCTGAGATCGAGAGAGAGGAGCGCGAGAAGGACTGGTACTACGCGCAGCTCCAGAACCTCACCAAGCGTATCGACGGGCTCCCGCTCACCGACGGGGTGAGCAGCATCATCACTGCCACCGCCACCGGTCGGGAATCGTGGTGGTACAGGCCACCCCCTCCCCCCCCCCGTTGTGTGCCGTGCCGGCCTTCGTAAGAGCGCCACGGTGGCAGAATGTTAAGTGGGTTTGATCCCGACCTTGACGCATGCTGCTGTATATTTTGAGTTTGCGTGTCTCCCCGTGGTCGCGTGGATTTTCCTCCACGTCCTCCGGTTTTTCCCTACACATTTAGAAACGTGCGATTCGAGTGTTTGGCTGCTATAAATTTCCACTTTTGTTGGGCTATTATTTGTGGCCAGGTGGCTTCTGAAAAAGAGCTACATAGCTCGGTGGGCCTTACCTGGAAAAATAAAACAAGTCAAAGCGACCTCGCTGACGGCGCTTGCTCCCCGACAGCCTGTGTAGCAGCTTGGTGTCCCCGTCCCTCCACAGCACTACCTGCAAACGGACGTGACGCGCCGAGAGCTGGAGCTGGAGGCTCAGAACATCCGCACCGCGATGGAGGAGCGGCTGGGCACCTGCCAGCAGATGGCGCAGAGAGCACAGGTGCCGACCGATTGCGCAATCCCCCCCCCACCCACCCCCCCTGAATGCCTTGGTTCCGCATCTCCACTTTAATGTCATTATTTCCCAAATGTTTTTTTTATTAGGGCTGAACGATTAGACGATTTCAAATCGAAATCGCAATTTTAAGCAATGCGATTAGCAAATCGCGAAGGCTGCAATTTTTTGCGATTTGAAAAGTCCTGTTACTTTCTTATTGGAATTGTTTTATTTTTTTAACAGCTGTTCTATGTTTATTGTTCTATTACAATTAAAACATTTTAATAAATACATGTTGGAAGCAATTCATATGTTTTTAGTTCTCATCCTTGCATTAGAATATATAGAGCAGTTCATATTTTTATGGTATCACGTGGTAATGCTCCATCACGTGTTTTAAATCTATTGCACAGTGAATATTGAACTGAAGCTTCACTTGAAAAATGTAATTAAATTGCAATATCTGTCAGAAAAATCGCAATTAGATATTTCCCCAAATCGTTCAGCCTTAGTTTTTATCGTGATTGTTATCGGTGACATAATAATAATGATGATATAATTTAGTCCGTCATTACAAAGGAAGGCCCTGCTGTGTGTCACGGAGGGGTATAGTGCCACACATATCCACCCACCAACCCACCTGATCATTCACTCGCACTCAATCGCTCATCCACTCACTCACTCAACCACCTGTCCACTCACCCTCATCACTTATGCATCCAATCACCCACCCACTCACTCACCCTATCACTCATTAATCCACTCACCCACCACACACGTTCACTGACCGGCACATTCTCATCCAATTGCTCACCCACTCACTCATTTGTCTATTTTGTATTGGCTGTCGCGAAGGAAGGCGCCGGCGGTAGTTTCACTGTTAGGGGGCGGTGTCTTCTGTGTGTGTTGTGATGCCAGTTGAGTAATGGTTATTGCGTGTGATCTCATTTGAGTCGCGTTGTCACGAGGCAAAGAATCCTTTTGGATTCTTTGGATTCTTTGCAAGGCGGTGCGTCGATTCGTGTCAAGAGTACGGCCCATGATAGCGGATGTCACAGAGCTACATCTGAGCGACACTCGTCTATACACACAGTAGGGGCAGCACTTTCCCGCTCTCTGTGCCGTTTGAGATTCATGTTTGGCGCATGACGATCACACCGATTGTTTTTTTCGGTAAAGTCACGTATGTAGAAATACAATAAAATTATATTAAAACAAAAAACAATCACGACGTTTCGATCACAACGCAAGCGACCTTCATCAGGTGTCAAGAACAAAGCACAGAGGTAAATACAACAAAAGATGAGAGACGAGAATTCAACAAACCTGAAAAAACATTATGTGAAGCACATCCAGTCAGGCCAACAACTTTAATACTTTATGATCACACCGATGTTTCATTCTCAAAGATGGAATTTTGCCTAATGAGGTGCACAACAAAATGTAATGTCATCAGGGTTTTTTCGTACAGTCATCAGTGACCAGGCTGAGACCATGCGCTCGCTACGCTTGAGAACCCGGTTTAATCACAACTCAGGCTACGTGAGTCTATGCGTCTCTGTGTGAATGTCAAGGTCTCTGTGTGAGTATGGGTTTCTATATGAATCTCTCGGTCCCTTTCTGAGTCTATTGATCTCAATGTTAGTCTGTAGCTTTCTATGGCTCCGTGTAAAACTATGGGTCTCTCTGTGAGTCTGTGGATCTCTGTAGTGTCTACAATTTCTCTGTGAGCCTATGGGTCTGTATGAAAACCGTTGGTGAGCGGGCCGAAACCATCAACTCGGTGTACTCGAGGATCCGGTTTCATCACTGTGGTTGGGATTGAAACCTGGATTCGAACCCAGGGTCTCAGCGGTGCCGGCTCGGCTTCTCTGACCTCCTAGCCACCTGGCCACCATTGCTGTCCACTCGGTTCTGTGCGTTCTGTTGAGCTTATTTTGCACCGTATACGTAGCCAACTGTGCTAGTCGGAGGTGCGGGAGAAGGACAACAAACGAAACACAAAATGCAGATCTAAATACATGAGTTTTCAATCTAGATTTAAAAGTGCATAGCTCCAGTGGCTTCCTAATATCGGAAGGAAGAGCGTTCCAGACGGCTGCAGAAGCGCATCTGAACGCGCGCGATGCAGCGGTGACCGTCTTTGTTTGACGGCGAGACAAAAGCCGCTCGTGCGAGGGGAGTGCCGGCGGGACGCGGTCACGGCGCATGGAGCTGCAGCGTCGTGCCTCTCTCCCACAGGTGGACGTGCTGCGCATCAAGGAGATCGACCAGGAGATAGCGCGCGTGCGCCAGCTGCTGCACGAGGCCCAGGGCGTAGGCAGCGACGGCGAGGTGAGCTTCGGCGACGGGGTTTTCTGTTTTGTGGCCGGTGGCGGGGCGCGCACCGCGTTGCTCGGTCGCTCGCTTGTTGCCTCCGGTATTATCTTGGCACAAACATTTGCCGACCGGCAGAGAAGTGAAATGAAGCGGACGCTGTCGGCGTGGCGCGCAGGACGCCGGGTAGGGACGCCGGGTTACGATATCCGGCGCTTTGATGGATTGTCACGAGTCAGAGATGCGATGATTCAATTCGAGAGCTCATTCTTGTTGTGTCTTTGCTCACGTTTCCCATGTTTGCTCTGACGTCCGTACGGTGTTATTCAAATCAAGATTATTTTTCCCTCCGTTAATGTCAATTTAACGCTAGAGTATCGTTTGCATATCATTTGCCTAAAAATGTAAGTCATCGAATGTCACTCGCACCATTGGCACTCCTCGAAGACACTGGCGTAACCTTTCAACTGCTTGTGTTGCGATCGAAACGTCGTAGTTTTGTTGTTCTATGTGACTTTAGCGAAAGAGCCCAAGAATATCAACAGACCGATGTACACATCTTCTTCACTAACAGAACATTCAAGACACAAGCCACAGTATCGCGATTTTGGTCATACAATCTAAACTATGGACTAGAGAGTAAACCACTGTAATCTGTGCTCCTTCAAAGGAGGAGTAGCAGCAGTAAAACTACACGAATCTCTCTGCTGAAGCCCTCTCGTCATGGACAGCAGACCTGAACATTTGCAATTAGCTCCTGAACATATTGTCATCGTGGGCAAGAATAGAATTTGCAGAGTTCACTGCACGTGGAATATCGTGAGCATAATAACAACAGCAAATTAAATATACACGGCGTCTGTTAAGCCCGTCGCATCTCACGAGCATTTACCAAATTGACAAATGATTAAGTTCGGGTGGAACGAGAGTGCGGGTCACAGGGCAGGGGAAGACGTGACGCAGCAGAGAGAGAGAGACTCCGTGGCATGGTCGGAGACAAAGCAGCCATGGCCCAGCACCCACAGCAATAACAACAAGCTCCAAGCTTATTTTGTTTAACCACGTGAGAACTCAAGAAGAGACCAGGAATAGAATAACATTTCCAAGAGCCGCTTGGGTGAAGGAGTGAGTGGCCGAGTGGCAAAATCGCCCGATGATGCTGGATGTCATTTCCAGTGAAACGTCACAGTACTCAGTGTTAATGTTGTGGATTTACTCTCCAACACACCGGTGGGCTGAAGTAGTCGCTAATTGGTACGTTTTGTTTACGCAACAAACCTTACTGGTTGGCTGTGTCGGGTGGTGGCGGCTAACCGACACATTATACTGACGCGATTTAACCCAAAACACCCTTTATTATGTATTATATTGGCCGCGAAAGCGTACGTGTCAAACTGGCTGAGTGAGTCGGTGAGTGAACAGCGGGTGAGTGGGCCCGTGGAGTTCAAGTTGATTTTGTTGAGCCAGGGTGGGAGCTCAAGAGACCAGGAGGGGGGGGGTCTCATTTGCAAGAGTGAGTGATCTGGCTCACGAGAATGACAAAACAAATTAAGTACAGCAATGAAGAAATGAGAAATCATCGCAACATGACAAATAGATAAATAGTCCACAGATAGAAGTTGACGTTAACTAATACATTCTCAGGAGGTGGGGGAGGCAGGGATAGGGGGCGGGAGAAGGCTTTGAATTGGACTAATTTTTCAGTCAATCAAGTTTAATCAATCATTTGCGGAATCCATCTGAGACTTGGTGTCTCTGTGCTTCTGCCCAGCTTTGCACCTCTGCCCGCTGGTGCATCCAGTGGAAAGAAAAACAATCGCGTCCCCCGATGAGTTTGTTTTGTGTTAGTTGGCGAAGGTGGAATGCTGATCAAAGTGTAACGAAAACCCTCCACCACCCTGCGTCAGAGCCAACCAAATCAAGTTGTCAAGTCGTGGCTAAAAATATGCCGATTTGATTTGGTTTATAGTAAACATTCTTACTTATACCTACACGATCTAACTCTACAATAAACTAATTGCGAATCGTAATATTGCTCGAGAAAGCCTGCGTATAATCTTAATAACATCCATTGCTTGAGGTTGGGGCACGGACAAGTCTTAAGTGGAAACGTATTACACTGATGATATCATGGTTGTGGTAGTGATTGTGGTAATGCTGATGTTTATCATGAGAGTGATGATGTAGTGAGGTTATGATGGCAATGATTGTGTTAGTGATGAAAACAGTGGTGGTGATGGCGACGACGATGATAGCAGTGACGATGGTTGGAGACTGACAATAGCGGGGTTAGCGCCGGCCGTCCGGCCCATTTCCTTGACTGCAGTGACCGTGACGATGATGACATTGGTAATGAAGCTGATGCTGGTAACGACGACAACAACAATGAAAGTAATAACGACCCTCTTTGTAATCACATCGCCTCTCGTTATTAATGCCCGATGCGTCCGTTTGACCGCGCGCGCTCCGATCCAAGCAAATTTGCTCGCGCTCCGTTCCAACGGGCCCGGACGCCCGCCCGCCCGCCCGCCCTCCTGCAACAATGGCTGTCTTGGGGTTTGAACGATGGCCGTCGTCGTCGCATCGACGGCTCGGCCAATCCCCCTGGCAACGGAACGACCGCTGCGGCTCTTTGTGAGGTCTCCGCTTGTCGGGGTGGCACAGGGGCAAGGCGTTGTGTGGAAGCCAAGGGGATGTTTTTGGGTGGGCTCTCGTGTAGTTAAAAAAAAAAATTGTTTCTTAGTTTTCGTACCCGGGCAGACAATGGCGCTGCCCGGCCGACGTAAATCTCCCTCTTGCGTCTTTGTTTTGCGATTAAAAAAAATTTGCTGCGCACTCTGAAATTAGCCTGGCGGTGGTGGCTACGTTGCTGCACGTGGCTGCTGTCTGTAGCCCGGCAGCACTGTGGAGGAAGCAGCGAGGCTTGGTGGATCACCGCACAGGTGTTGTGAAACTCCCTTCCCATGGGCGTAGAGGTGGGAACCGTTCCCCGGCTCGCCAGGAGAAGGTGGTACGGTAAAAATGTGGACGCCACCTGTTCAATCTTTATGGGATAGCGTTGTTCCTTGGCACGTGTGGGTTTTCTCCGGGTGTAAACAATTTCATATATCGAGGACCACAGAGCTTGGGGTGTCGGGGGGGGTGGTGGAATTTGACACCGACTCAGTGTGGCCGCCATCCCCGCTCGTTTCTTTGGTTCCTTCGTGCGCCTCTTGAGTCATTCTCCCTCTACGGGAGCGATGAGCGAATTCCGTGCAGCACCCCATGACGAGGTGATGTTATTTTTATTATCGTCAGAAATGTGAACGACCGACACAGCCAAAATGTCGGTCGTAGTAAATAAATATTCACGTAATCGGCAATAACTGGAGCTCACGCACATTCTCAAAATCAATAGAGGGAAGAAAAATCACGCGCGCGGATTGATTTTTTTGTGACGCTTCCGGATTGCGTTTGCCTCTGTGCGTGTTGAATCGACGGCAACGGAAGCCCGATGGAGAGCCCATCAGAGCAAATCACGTTTGCGTGTTTGGCCATTTTTGTGCTCTGGCTTTTGTCTCCCGGCTTCTATGGGGCCGCCCTTCTGATGGATCAGTTTGTCCAGTTGTTCATATGGTGGTCATCAACATGCCGTGGCTTAGATACAGCTCCACTCCATCCCAGCGCCGAGCACCCAGCCAATCGTGTACGAGCCGGAGCATCCCCGTGACCGCGCATGACCACCATATTTAACCCAAGTACTGACATGCAGTTTTTCAGTTGGTTAAAGTTGGTTATAACAACGCAACTTCATGCGGCAGTTTCGTTCATATTGGATCTCTTTCAGGATTTATTAATGTGCTTCCCACCGTGACGGGTGGACGGAGTGGACGCATAAACGCGTTCGACATCGGCTGGAAAGCATAAATAACACTCCGAAGTCAAAAAGTGGTCCCTGTGGTCAAATAAACATCTGCCTGGTACTCATGCCAGGAATTTTTTTTTGTACATTGCATAAAAACCAACATGAATAGCATTACAAGCTGCGAATGGGCTCGTGAAAATAATGGGGATATTGTTAGGGAACCTGTCATACCCGGGCACCCTGACTATGCATTAGCCCGGTACGTTAGCGGACGCTGTGCGGTGCGTGAGAGGGAAGAGCGCTGTATGATGGGGGTGGTGACCATTGCGTCTCCCTTTTTAAGACAATGAGAATGTTGGGTCTTACCCAGAATCCCCACGGGTGCTGCGGAGTGGCACTGATGGACGCCTCCTCGAGCAGACGAGACGGCCGCCCCCCCTTCCCCCCTCCCCGTGTCACTCCCTCTCACATCCGCTCCACTCCATCGCGTACCGCACTTATTGCCTGCTGTGGTTGATGTGCAGAGGGTTCCGGGGAAAAAAAAAATCTGCGGAAGCTTTCGGTTTTTGCGGTTATTACTGTGCGCTCGCGCACGTGCGAGAGGTTGGCACACGTACATACACACACACGTACATACGCACACACGTACATACGCACACACGTACATACGCACACACGTACATACGCACACACGTACACAAATAAAGACAAAGATCCCTCGTATAGCCTTTAACAGATTTTTCGAGCAAGTGCTGTTTAGCCAGCACATTTGAGTGACCAACACCAAACCTGGCCGCCTTTGTCTCCCCAGTGCAAATTTTTTACACACCGAGTCGACGTCGGGGAGGTCCGCAATCGATTCAGATGTGCACCACTGTTATTGGTCGTGAGCGCAAATGGAACTTGCGTCGCCCGGGTTCGCAGCGATGGAACAAAACCAGAGTCATCTGCTCCGGCTTCATCATTAAAACATGGTGTGGATCTACCCAGTGAGACAGCATTTCGCGACTCCGTACAAACGGAACAGAAACAGGGGATACGTTTACTGTGCAGAGAGAGGCTCTCGGTCGCTGGCAGAGGAGAAGTGGGGGGAATGGCCTTGAGCCTGGGCTCGATCAGGGGCCGGGAGTCGAGAGCACGGACCGAGGGATGGGGGAAGGAAATTCCTGAGGCA